TGGAGGAATGTGGAAACTTGTGGTTAGATTTCCTGATTTAAATGTAAATATGTATTTCATTTTTTGTGGATATAAAAATAGTTAGATTCTACCTTAGTCCTAAAGCTTAGATGTGACAATTATAAGCTAATGAAATTCTATAGTATTTGTAATAATTATTGTGTTGAAGAAGAAAAATCACGCGAACTCAGCCAAATGAACTAAAGAGAGGGTGGAGGAGGCCACTCAGGCAACTGCAGACTAACATTTTATTGCCTCACTTGGGGAAGCAGCTCGGAGGTTACAACACCCACACGCTGGACGGACACATGTGCCTCTGGTTAGCACACGGGGCCACGTGACTGATGGGAACCTGGGGCCCCTGCCAATACCTCCCCCTTCCCACCGTAGTCTCTAGCTCAAGCTTGGGAAGAGGATGTGAGCTTCCACACACACGAAGAGAAACGTTCTGCTCAATACTAACAAGACACACTAGGCAGAGAGAGTGCAAAGCAGCCCTGATGAAGGGAAGGTATGTGACTACCAAGCAGCACCCAGGCAGTGCCCTCAGGGAAGCTGAACAGGAGGCGAGATCAGAGCCACCGGAGCTGGTGTCCCGGGCCGGAGCAGAGCCACCGGAGCTGGTGTCCTGGGCCTGCACCAAGGACCGGGCCTGCCACAGTGTCTGGCCTGCTTAGTTCCAGAATTCTGATTCCACAGCTTCCTTTGAGCAAAATTATCACTCTATATTGCCTACTGTTTGCTACGTGTTTAAGTATGAATTTATTGTATTTTGAGGCCATATTCTTAGCTCAATGAAAAAAACCTTTACTGAGAAATTCACTTCATAAAATGTTAGCTTCTAGTCAGCTACTCAGGAAGCCCTCCCCTCACAGCCGAGGCCTGTCTACACTTGAGAAGTACAGCAAAGAACTGGGCCAGACTCCTTCATCCTCTGCTACACCTCCGTTACCCTAATGATTTATTTTATGTCCCCTACTTCGGTGATTTATGTTAAGCTACACTCTACTTGGAGATTAGAAACTGGAAACAACACTACATCTGCTGACAAAAGGGTGCTCCCAGAACTGGAAAGCCCGGGGAAAACCGAAAAAGGGAAGCATCAGATAAACAAAGAAAACGTCTCCTGAACACAACGCAGACACAGAAAAACAAGCTCCACATCAAGCCCAGCAGGGAACTCAAAGGCAGCACCCAGAGGATGCCGACAAAGGGACAAGGGAGGGAGCAGCAGGCAGGCAGGCGCACCCTGCTGACACCAGGGTCTCTGGCAACCCACGTTTATGCAAACACTGTGGCACCCGGACTCCTCACTATACCTGCTGCCAAGTGCTCTGCGGAGGGAGAGGGCCCGGGGCTGGGAACACTGGGGAAGCGCAGACAGGAGGAGACGAGATTCTAGTCCACACCAGTAGGAAGATCATAATCACACGTGAAAAGGCCCACTTAGCAGAGGGACAGTGGGGGAGAGAGAGACAGACTGATGCAGGCATGCAGCTGGAAAAGAACCTGAGCACACCACTATGTAAAACTTGGTCTTAAATCCTTTAGGAAAGCAGAAGCTAACCGGGGCCCAGCACTGCTATATCCTTTGCTTCACACGATTTGGGATTTTTTAAAAAAGCATTCATTCAATTCAATGTGCAAGAATGCTGCGCCTCTCCTGGGCCAGGGCCAGAGTCCTGCCATCTGGCCGGGGGGAGGGAGGAAAGCTGAGGCTCAGTCGCTGGACAAGCAGCCCAGAGCGGGCAGCACCTTCCCAGGTGGAGGCTCTGAGCTGCCGGTTGTGTGATAAGGTTCGTTTTCCCAGAGCACTGACTGCACTTGGAAAAATGAGTGAAAAGCATAAAGCACGGCCATGCCTAGGAGTGGGTTACAACATTTAAATCATTTTGGGATAAAGTATGAGATTATGACTCCTTCCCAGGCCCTTTCGCAGACTCTCCTGTTTCTGCCTGTGATTAAAGGCGGGAGCTGTTTGGGTGCCGATGCAGCCCCTCCTCCTCCCCACGCCCCTGCTGGGCGTCGTGTCACCTCGCCCAGCAGGCCTGCACAAACAAGCCCCACACTTGCCGACCTCCCTGTCAGCTGCTCAGCCTGTCCCTCAGCCTGTCCCACCGCACGGGAGCCCCGTGGTTGATGCAGCCGCGGCGGAACCTGTGGTCTCAGGTACTTCCCATTTCTATCTGGCCACCCCTCTACCTACTTCTCAAGACAACCCGCTCCCACCTTACCGAGCGGCGCCATCACCTGGCCAGCTGCCCAAAGCAGACCTGTCCCTGCCTCCCCGACTGTGACATCCGGTCACTAATCCTGACCTGCCGATTCCATTGCCTCCAGCCTGATTTCTCCCCGCCACCAGCATGCCCCCCATTACGGGGCGCTCACCCTTGTTGTTCGCAAGATGCCCTCGCTTCAGCTGACTCATCCATAGTCTGTTCCAGCTAAAATAACCCACTTTGAGCTTCCAGCCTCTCACTTTACACATAAGGAAACCCAGGCCAAGACAAGCAATATGCTTGCAAGGTCCCAAAGTTACTGAGAAACCTGCAGCTGGGTAAAGAGCAAAACTGATGCTGTTTCTATGCAGAGGAAACATACACTGATTAAAGCCAATATATTTTTAAAGATTAGTGTTTTTCTACAATATCTCCAACACAATGGAATACTATAGAGTTGTTAAAAAAAAGGACGAGGAAGGTCTCTCCATATTTCTGTGGTGTGAGCTCATGACACGCTGTCAAATTTAAAAAATCAAGACGGAGAAAAGCTTGTATTGTATATTATACTACTTGCTAAGAAAGAGGGCTGTGGGTATACACACATACTTAAATTAAAAATAGAAAGACAAAACAAAAGCTAAAAGAAAGTTACCTCTGGAGGAGGGAAGAAACAGGGTATAAAGATCAGGAATGGAAGCAAGATTCCTGAAAACACTTTATTTTTGACTTGGAACCATGAAAGTACTTTTTATAGATGTCTAACACAAATTTTTAAAAGAAGCTATTCCTTAAAATAAAAATAAATGAGTCTAACTGTGTAACAGGTTGGTGGCACACTGAGGAACTGGTTCAAGTGACTTTAAGGTTTAATAATTCGGCAGAACATCCCTAGGGTTATACCCCAAGGGAAAAAGAACCACAGAAAATCTTAAGCTGCTTTCAGTAATCATGTATTAGTTGGTAACATATTGGTATTATTATTTTAAAACTATCACATATATTTTATGGGTTAAAACAAGTAAATAATGATGCTAATGTTGTTAGGAACAGAGATTTTTCAGTGTAAGAGAAAAGACATATCAATATAAAATAAGAAGTAAACACCACATGGTCCTAAATTTGAAACAAAAACATCAGTGTGAATTCATGATTAAAAGCCGATTTCCCAGCTGTCCAACAGAAAGGCCCAGAGCAACAACCAGCCCTGAAGCAATGAGCATCCCCAGTGCCCAGACTGTGGTCTCGAGACACCGAATTCTCTGCAAGAGGCAACGAGAGCTGCTTAGAGAAACAGCCAATTCCAGGCCTAGGGTGAAGCACAAGATGAATCTGAAACGTCTCACCATCTCAGAAAGCAGGGAAAGGAAGACCATGGGCCACATCAAAGGACAAGTCAACTCCCAGAGGCCACACTGGCAGAAGGGGCCCAAGGTTCAGCATCAATAAGAACAGTAACTGCGAGGGACTGAAGCACATTACACCTGTTTAAAGTCATGAGTTTACACTGATGCTTAAGACTGGTCACTTTCAGAGCGGCTAGGACGCCATCTCATTATTTGGAGAACCCATAAAGAAAAAGAATCAGGCATTTATCCTATTATCATTCCTATCTGAACTGTCCCTTAGGGTAGCCACACAGTTAAAGAGGGAAGTTTCTCTCCACAGAAGTATTTCAGTTAATCAAGGCAGAGTAAAGGATAAAACTTACAATGTCATCGCTTGCAACCTCTAACGACTATGAGTCCAGGTGTCCAGCACCACTGGCCCTGATGCCAGAGTAGACGTGTGCCCCCTCGTGATGGCACACACCTCAACCTCCGAGTGCATGTGCCGACCCACCCTCTGGACCTGCCTACCACCTCACTGGAAATACACGGGACAGAAGAACACATTCTATGGAAACAGCAAAAGTCAAAGCAGGGAAACGTCCGACCACAGAACCACCAGCCTGGATTTTCCAACAAAGAAATGCAAGGAAGGAGAGGGATGGGGAGGAGCAACTAATTCAGAGACTTAAGACAGAGATCAGCTGAATGCACCTGTTTGCACCCTGCTTCAAACAAACTAAAAAAATTGAGACTACCGGGGAGAACTGAATGGTACTATGATTACGAATAAAATTTTAAATAGCAGTTTTCTTGTTACTTATGAATTTATCAAAACTAGCTATGTATTAAATCTCACTTTGGATGCAAACATTTCAAACCTATTTTATATTCATTTTAATGTTCTAACATATTAAAGAGTTCTTAATTTCAAGTATACAATGCCACTCGGTCACAAAATAGAGACTAAAACACAGGGTATTTGGTTTCCTTTCAAACTCCTGGAGAAAGAAGGTTAAGGAGCAAGCAGTTCACATATTGTAAGATGCAAACTCAGGCACACCTCCACCCTCAGGCCCTGGCAGCTTTACTGCAACAGGCTCCCTCCTGGGGGAAGGGTGGGCCTCAGAGCTTTCAGAGTGAAGGCAGAGATGCATTCCATGACCCTTGGTTTTCAGATGCGTTAATCATTACTGAGCCATTAGGTCCAATGTCTATTATTCTCAGTTTAATATTGGCTTAAAAAAATGAAAAACAAAGTCAGACACAAACCAAAATACAGTGCCATGTATGCAGAAGACACTCAGATACACCTGTTACAGAAGAAACTGCTAAAGCCAAAAATGAGTAAGTTCAGGATGTTTTTGAATTGAATTACTTTATTTTTATGCAAACAAGCAAGTAACAGCTGAAGAAAGAAATCTATACAAATTAAAAATTTCTAGTGACATACCTGTGTGTCATATGCTGTGAGAAGATGTATCTAAGCTTGATCAGGGAGGGAGAGACTTCAAAAAAGCAAAAGCAAAGCAGTGTCAACCTTATCCTTCTTCAAATAATGTAGTGGAGTCCTTTACCTAGGAAGTAAGAAGGACACTTGGTTAACTCACATATGGAAAATTTTAAAAGCTTTTAAAAATAGAATTTCAAAAGTGGAAATTTCTAAAGCTTCAGTGGAAACATTTTAAACTATACTATATAAACATGTGCTTTGGATTTTCTACATTTTTTTGAGTTGAACACAAATTACAAAGTCTAGATATCTTCAGATTATTTTTATTTTAAAATCACTTTTAAAATGAAGTATTATATACACATAGAAAAGCACAAGAAACATGTATTACAGTTTCACAAGGTTATTACATAAACACTAGTCCAACTACCAGCCGAGTCAAGGACCAAAAAAAACACTGGTGCCTCTCTGTGATCCTAAACCCCTTCCTCTCCGGTAAGTAGTACCTACCCTAACTTCCGTGGCTGTCATTTCCTTGCTTTTCGTTAGACTTATCACCTAGACATGTGGCCCTAATCGAAAATTTATTTTTGCCAGCTTCTGGATTTTATATAAACATAATCATATAGTGTGCATTCTTTTGTCCTGCTTTGTTTTTGCTCCCCACTGTAGTCACTGGCCCGTCATTTGTTTTCACTGCTGTGTAATATTCCATTGTGTAGATATACCATAATTTACTTACCCGTTCCCCTGCCTCCTGGGTGTTTCTGCTCAGGGGCAAACACAGCACTACTAAGATCTTTCTGGTACATCTATCCTAAGCACACAGGAATGTATTTCTCCAGTGTAAATACCTACAAGTGTGATTGTTAGATTATTAGGTAAGTATTCAACTTTGCCACATAAAGCCAAACAAACTACTTCCCAAAGCAGTTGTAACAACTTATACTCCCAACCAGAAGGATATGAGAGAGTGTCTGTTGCTCAACTTTTCAACAAGACTTGTCAGGCTTTTAAATTCTTGCTAACTGAATAGCTATGCAGTGGTAGCCTAAGAATTCTTTATAATGTACAATTTTATAACTATTATGGAGAAAAATTCACGAAATTTTACACCTGACAACTGCCACAGTGGAGATTTAATTTTGCAGGCAGGCATTTCTTCTCTTTTCCAATGGTCACTGTGTTCCATTCTCAGTCTGCCAGCTTCCAGAGACATTGGTTCCAAACCCCAAGCACAAGGGGACAGGTGTCAGCGTGGACTGGCCCATAAGAGCATCCCATCCCTGGGCCAGAGCTGCTTCATCTCTGAGAGCACACGACCCAAGTCAAAATGAATGGAGTCTTTTCTTCCTTCTCTGGGAGTTAAGGAGATCCTCACTCTTCCCCAAAGAACTTGAACATGAGCACGTACATCTGACTACTCGAAGGAAGGAGGCTGTTTGAGAACAGAGCAGTCGTGGAGGAGGACGCTGGGGAAGAAACTGACTACCTTCGGCTCTTAAACTAGTGATCAGTAAATCCCCTTTTGCTTTTAACAGCTGATGTCCAGTTACATCAGAAAGAGCCCTCACTGTTAAATCACTTATTATAAAGCATGGGTTTTAATCTACTCAGTAAGCCACACAGGTCAATTGAAGTAACATACAGCAATAGAAACACACACACATACAACCTCAGTATTTTTTCATTCACAGTTTGTAATTCAAAACAGTTTATCACCCAGACTTGGACTATAGTTCTTGCTAAGTGGCAAGTTAATTCTGAATGTTTCTTTGGCAAGAGAACTAAAAATCAAAAGCTATAATTTATTCGTCCTTATCTGCTATTAATACTTCACTAATTATACTATCCCTGTTGAGTTTTATAACAAAGTTATGATAACCTCATAAAATAAATTAAGATGTGTTTCCTGATTTATTCTGAGGAAATATCTGGGGAAGACTGGAATTATTTCTTCCTTGAAAGTCTGGTGGGATTTAACAAGGAAGCCATCTGTGCCTTAAAATTTTAAATTACTAATTCTATTTTTTTATTGGTTATAGGACTAGTTAAGATTTTCTATTTTCTCTGCAGCTACTTTTAGAAAGTTACATTTTAAAAGAAATTTATCTCACTTAAATTTTCAAATTTCCTGACATGATGCTATTTCTAATAACGGTTTTTGATTTTTTTAATCCTCTACTGACTCCAAGGAGCCTCATTTCCCTTTCGTTCCACTGGTTGTGTCTCCTCTTTTTCCCCTTATCAGTCTTACCAAAGATATGTCAATTTTACTAGACTATTCAAGGAACCAGTTTTTGATTTTGTTGATCTTTCTATTGCAAATTTCCCATTTGATTAATTTTGCTCCTATTTTTATTATTTTCTTTCTTTGGGCTTTTTTTGTTATTTTTTCTTATTTGTAATTAGAATGATGCTTAGCCTACTAATTTTCAGCTTTTCTACTTTTCTAAAGCTACAAGTCTCCCACCGTGTACAGGTTTGGCTGTATTCTACAAGCTCTGACATGTAGTGTTTTAACTTTGATCTAGTCAGCTAAAAACATTTTTTAACTTCCACTATGTCATCTTCTTAGACCCATCAGATTTTTTAAATATCCCTTTATTTTTAATTTTACAATTTTATAATTATCTTTTTGCTCCTGATATACAGCTCAACTCCACTGAGATTAGAGATTATAATCTGTATTATCATAATCTTTGAAATGCATTGTACCGTGCCCACCAGTACTGGTCAATTTTTATAAATGTCCTATGTGGGCCTGAAAATAAAGTATATGTTGTAGTTTTTAGATGGAATGTTACTTATATTTACATCAGACCAAGGGTATTGATTCAATTTAAAATCCATCTGTGCTTAAAGTTTTTTCTTTTGGTCTGCTTATTCTTATCAATTACTGAGATGTGTTGAAATTTCCACTACAACTGTAAATTTGTCTATTTTTCCTTGTACTTGTGTCCATCTCTACTTTGTATATTCTGAAGTCATATTATTAGGAATTACTGTGATTTCCTTTTGAAATGAACCTCCTTATCATTACAAACTGTGCAGACCGCCTATTGGCCAGCTCACGTCTGCCTCCTGGGCACACAGCCGGATCATGCTTCCCAGCCTCCACTGCAGTTAAGTCCAGTTACACGACCTGGGCTCTGCCGCATGGAATGCACGCGGAAGCAACGTATAGCACCTTTAGACCAAGCCCATGAACACCTGCAGACTCTACACACCACTCCTCCAAACGCAGAGGATCCTGCAGAGTATTCCAAGTCGTAGGAGATGGTAGAGTCACAGGCAGAAGAAACTAAATCCCAAACCACCATTTGGGAAGCAATCTGCCAACTAGGGCTACCTGAACTGGACTCTGTGGGAGTAAGAAATAAACTTGTGTATAGTAAGCGGCTGACTGCTTTGTCCAGGAACTAGTTACCTGCTGTATTAAGTGAAACGACACTTATTATTTCTGGTACTGCTTTTCTGCCTAAAAGTACATTTTGTCTGACACACATACAATCTTGTCTTTGGCTAGAGTCTGCACAGTTTGCTTTTTCAACATTTGTCTTTCAACATTTCTTATTCCTCATGTTTTCAGTGGGTCTCTTATAAACAGTATACAGTTGGATCTTTTTTAAAAATCTTACCTGATATCCTTATCTTTTAATTGGAACATTTAGTCTATTTACATTGGAAGTAATTATTCATATTTATTTAATTCTACAATTTTACCAGGAGCTTTCAGTTTGCCTTCTTTGGGATTATTCATCATTATTCTAGTCCCTGTTCTCCCATAATCTGGAAGTTACATATTGTTTCTACTCTTTGGGTAGCTAGTTTGGAAATGGTAACGTACAGGTTCTTATCAAGGTGCAATGTCAGTAATTTTACCTTTCCTCTGGACAGTAAGGACCTTAAAACTTTCACTCCATTTATCGTATTTCCAACTTATATTCTCCTGTTGTGCGTGTATGCGTGTCATTACTGTTTCATACAGCATTCACTCGTTTTTCTTAGATACAGGATTCTTTCCTTCAGTGTGCTGAAGCTATTACTCCAAGTCTCTGGCTTTCACTGCTGGTGCTGAGAAGTCAGCCTGCCCTTCCTTTCTAGGACATCATGTGTCTCTCCGTATGCTTGGGGGTAGACTTCTTTTGCTGTTGTTGCTGTTTGTTGCTTTGGGGGGTGGCTTGGGGGTGAGGGAGGAAGCAGGGGGTGGAGTTCTCTTTACTTATCCTGCCAGTCATTTGTTGAACATCCTAGATGTGTGGTTTGGCTTCTTTCACGGTTTGTGGAAAACTTTCAGCCACTGTCTCTTGGAGCATGGCGTGTGCACCGTCCTCTCGCCAGGCCAGAGCTCACTGCTCCCTGCGTCTCCGGCCCTCCCTCGTGCGTCCACATTCCCATCTCTGTGCTTCGTTCTTGTTTCTCCTTTTCTGGTCTAGTACTACGGTGGGTTACATTGACTGATTTTCCGATGTTAAGCCAACTTTCATTCCTGAGATTAAACCTCACTGGATCATTATGTAATATCCCTTTTATATTCTGCCTAGTGGATTCTATGTGCTAAAATTTACCGGGGATTTTGTGTGGAGGACGAGTATTACCTGGTGTTTCCCTTTATTACAATGTCTTTGTCTGGCTTTGCTTTCCGGGTAGTGTTAGCCTTACAGAATGAGACAGGAGGCATTTCTTCGTCTTCTATTTTCTGAAGAAGTTTTTGTCAGATTAGTGTTCTTTCTTCTTTAAGTGTTTAATACAAGTTTTTAGTGAAGCCACTTGAGCCTGGAGTTTTCTTTGAGGTCAGGATTTTAGCTACAAATTCAACTTCTTTAATAAATATATAGTTATGCAGGTTATACATTTGTTCTTGAGTGAGCTTTGGTGGTTTATGTATTTCAAGGGGTTTGTTCATTTTATTCACGTTGTCAAATTTATTAGCATAAAATTATTCACAGTATTCCTTATTGCTCTTTCAATGTTTGTAAGATCTGTAATGATCCTCTTTTATATCCCTGATATATTTCTTTCTTCCTCACTCATGAGATTTTTCCAGATATGATAGATACCTTTAATTTATCGCTGTTTACCTTCAAATAACATTACACCACCTGAACTACAGCAACACCACCCCTCCATCCTCTGTGCTCTT